TTTGGTCGGACGTTATTAGATGCCTTATTTTTTTAAACTTTATCGAGGCCACACTCTTCCAGTGTACGTTTGTATTCTTGTATCTACGTCTTATATCTACGTCAGTATTCTTTTACAACTTATTCTACCGCTTTTTTTCTGTATTGGGACCCTGAATCATGCTTTCGAAAACTGGACATGACGTTTTTACTCTATAATGTTTGTTACTTATTTTTAAATAAAATAAAAAAGTTTTTCATTTGTTTTGAAATCGAAATTAATTTTTTATATAATTAATAGAATTTAATTCTCAAAGGAATTAAAGAAAAAAAGAAAAAAAATGCAATTTCACAATATCAAATTAATTGGAATAAATGTATTGAGAAAGAATATTTGAAAAGTGTTCGAATAAGAGTAACTTAACTGATTTATGTAGCATAACATTGATAATGTTTTAAAACCTTTGATTCGGATAAGTATTATGTAACTCGAATTTTAAATACATTAAATTTTTGGAGACATTTCAATAGGTCCTTCCAGAAAAAAATAGAAACTGTGAAATTTCTATTTAACTTAACCTAAATTTCAATTTCATTTCATGTTATAAAATTCTAAAAATCTTACAAAATATCTTACAGAAAAAAAAAATTTCAATTTTTTCTTAAATTTTTTGCTCAAAATTACGCAAATAATCTTCCTTTATTTTTGCCGTTTAATATTTTGTCTGTTTGAAAGTTTGCCGTTAGATAAATTTATAATAAATACATACTACATATTTAAATTTAGGTCGGAGTAAGAAGAAGATATAAACAGTCTTAACATCGAACCCCGTTTACATATTGCCTGTATTTATATAAAAAATACAAATATATACATAATCCGTTTTATAATATTTTGCAAAATGCTAAAAATGAAGAACGTGAAACTATAGTATATTTCAACTGATTTAAGATAAAAGTAATATAAACATACATATATATTAATACATGCACATTGTCTATATTAATGTTTAATAAAATATATTTATTTAGTGATAATAACAAGTTGTTATTTTTTTTCTATTTTTGAATTAAATTTAGAATAATAAATATTTGAAGTCTGTTGTAATAAATTCTAATTGTAATAAGAGTCTTTTAGATTCTGTTTTAAATTTCTTCAAGGAGTAGTAATCTTTATGATTATTAAATTTTTAATAAAATCTTTTATTGAGGGTCACATGTGCCCTCTTTGTCCGTGTCCCTAGATAAAATATACCCAGTGGCCCCCCTATGGGCGACCTTGATTGCTTTGTCTACTGTGTCGAACGCCGATGTTAAAGACTAGGAGTCTTTAACAAAGGTTTTACAAGGTAATACAGGTTTTTTTATCATTGAAGAAAGTGCTAATGTTATTGATGAGATCTAGTGCTAATGCTATTGATAAAATATTTTTTTACATTATTGTATGTCATGTTCTTATGTTTATGTATGTTATTATCATGCCGTTGTATATGTTCACCATGTTACATGTTAATGTATATTAATGTATGCTATTGTGATGTTTTAAATTATATTGTTACGTTATATATAGAGTTATGTTTATATATGCTAGTGGATGTTTTTGTATTTTATTGTAGATATTTTTAGTATGTTAATGTATGTTATTGTTAGGTTAAAAATTCATAATTTAATTTTCTCTAAAAAGAGAATCGGACAATAAGAGGAATTCAAAAATATCAGAATATTATATACTTTTCACAGTGTAATTTTACGAACTTGTATGTTTAAATTAAAATTTTTATCTCATAATTGAGATAAATGTAAGTTTTTGATTTTGATTTTAGGAAAAGATATATTTCAACAATAATTGTTGAAGTATGTCTTTTCCTAAAAGAAATTGAGATAACTTTTTAGATTCCTAAAAGATTGAGTAAACAAAGCTCATGAAAGTTACACCAAGTGATTCAGGAGAGAAACACCAAGATGGTTGTTTTTAATGCAATTATTGTATTAAAAACATTCAGTTTGGTGTCACTTTCTTGAGGACAATAAAAATAGTTACTTTATGAAATATTAGAAACAGTGACGGATCTAGGAATATTTGGAGGGAAGGGAGGATGTTGAAATATTTTTGTACTTTGTAGGTACTACATTTGCGTCTCCTAAAAAAAAAGGTCTTTTATTTCTAAGATATTTTAAGACTTTCAGATTTTGGTTTAGGGTTAAGGAGTGGGATGCATATCATTCATACTAAAGTCCATATTTATCGACTGACTCAAATAAATTAATTGTTTAGGGGATGGGCAAGGATTAAGACTCTTGGGGGCCGGGTGGACAAATTATTTGGGGTCCGATTCCTAAAAATTTTAAAAATAAATGCAGCAAAATATGAAAATACTTTTTTATTTTTTTTTATTTTTTTTTTCTTGTTTTCACATTGGCAAAGTCAGTAACAACGTCTTTAAATTTTATATTTTGTAACAGAGTTTTTTAGATTGTCATTAAACAAAGAGAATTTAAACGGTTATTTAACAATGAAGAACGGAAATCATTCTTGCTATATTTGAAAATGTTCGCTCTGCACTACTAATGAGAAGGGTTAGAAATATCCGATATGCAGTCAGCATTTAGAAAAACTGCTTCTAACTTATTCCTACAAATTACTTTTAAACATTCTAGTGCTGATATATTTTTTTTATTTGCTATGAACTTAGAAAACTGGGCTATTTCATCATGGAATTGTGTATATTAGTGTATTTAGAAGTGTAGTGACTTTATTTTGTGTCTTAAGTTTTTTAATTATTATCCGGAACAATTGATTTTAGGGTCTCAAGAATATGACTGTATTGCTCACCACCAACTCCCGCACAGCTCACCACCAACTCCCGCACAGCTCACCACCAACTCCCGCACAGCTCACCACCAACTCCCACACAGGTTTTTGATGGTAATACACCGTTTACAAGATCAAAACAAATAAATGTGATTTAAAGAAGCACAGAAAACTAAATTTAAAAAATTAGCTACACAAGGAATAAAATCAATGTTTGTTTTCTCATTTTTCAGTTGTGTTCGCAGGTAGTTGTATGTTCCAAACATATTAGATGCGTTATTATATGACTTACCACAAGCATCGTTAATGTTTAAACCAAGCTCTTTTAATCATTTCTTGACTGCATCTGTCATTACCTTTCCATTAAGTCCACACGACGACTCAAACCCAATAAATCTTTTTTAAACAACAGCTTCCTTGTTCACATATCAAATACATTATTGCATGTGCAGAGCCTGGTAATGAGTCAACAATCAGTGAAAAGTATTTAGCTATGGAGGTCATCTTTAGGAGACCTCTGCTGCACAAAAACTCTTCTTAGAACATCCCTTCAGTAACGCTTTTCAGCCTCCGACTGGTGTTTCAAATAAGCATCGATACTTTCCCTTTACTCTGACTTTTTCATAACAGAAATGGATTGTACTAGTGTGCTGTTTGCTTTGCTCATGCCTCTATATTGAATGCTGTCAATGACCTGTCATCAAATCTAGTTCTGAAGTTCTTATCTAACACTTAAAAAAACAGCAGAAAAAACAAAATATTTTTTATTCAGTGGATGCTGAATAAATTAGCCTGTTAAATAAGTCTCTCTTTCTAATTTCACCATTTTTCAACTTGTAAAAAAAAAATAGTTCAGAGAGAAGTACGCTTATGCTTTTGTCGCTTTTTTGTATTTTTCAAAATATTTGTCTGCTACATTTTAATCCTAATAATAAAGATTTTGTAAAATATTTACTCCTCTTGCGCATTTGAGAAAAAATTCTTATAGTTAAAAACTTTCAAGCGGTTTCTCAAAACTATTATGACTTTAAATTGTCTTTTTTTGAATTATGCTTATATTTATAGGTTACATAAATCCTAAAGTGAGCAAATATGCCTAGAAAAAAAGTATGCTTAGGCAGAGGCTTAATATGCGTGAATGGGCAATTACACCGGCACATTTTGATTTTTGTAATATCACATTTTTAGATATATATTTTTTATTTTAACAGATAAGATGTTTATATATTTATGAATCATCCCAAAATCATTTTTTTTTGTTTTCCTGTATATTGAAATTTCGTTCAAATATAATAAGTTTAGGAATTTTGTTGATAATATGCTGTCCCAGGAAAAAAAGTTCTAAAGAATTTTCTATAAACTTTTGAAACATATGGCCGATAGAAATTCTATAGAATCCTATTAAAATTTCTATAGAATCTCTTTTAATTTCTATAGAAATTTCTATAAAATTTTTTTTTTTCTACTTTTTTTATATATAGAAAATGTTTTTTCTACTTTTTTATAGTTTTTTAGCAAATTTTATAGAAATTAATAGACATTCTATAGAAATTCTATGAAGTTTCTATAGGCCATATGTTTCAAAAGTTTATAGAAAATTCTATAGAACTTTTTTTCCTGGGACGCAAAAAAACATTGAATTAAACCTGTTGTTTTCAGTTGAATATGTCAAACCAAATATGTAACCTACATGAACTTCTTAAATTAAATTAGGTAGCTATTATTCTGCGTAAAATTATTCAAAAGATTGTTTTAGCTATTTATTTATATATCTTAAATTAAATTAGTTATTGTTACTTACGAGAACAATTCTACACTTTTATCAAAATGTAGTTTAGCTACCATTTATATAGAAAGTATGACGCAGGGTTTTAATCTGAAATTTAAAACAAAAAAATAACACAAATAACATTATTAATCAAAATTTAAAATATTTAAACATACGGCAACCCAATGATTACAAGGTTTTTGTTTGATCTTATTTATTTATTTTATCGAAATAACTCACTTGAGCATGGAATTGCCCGTATAGATTATATACTATGTAAAGCATATACTTGCGTCAAAATAAACGACGAAATCACAGCACGTTCTTTTTTAGCGGCGAATAATCTGCAAACTTGCATATTATTTTAATTGTAAATTAATTAATAATAAATTGGAAGTTTGCATACTTCAGAAATTTTTAACTTAAGGAAAAAAGTTTTTACCTCAACTGAACTGTCTTTAACTAAGTAAAAAACTGAAAATTCTCGACTCAAGTCCATTTTTCATTTATTTTAAAGATGACAATCTTCAAGAGTTGCAAAATACAATAATAAAATAATAAATCATAAACTTTGTTGTGTGCAAAAAGCATAAAAAAAAAAAAAAAATTTAACACAAAATAAAAATTGGCGATAAAAATAATCACAGAATGTTTTTAAAAACATTCTATAGACTTTATAAGCGCAAATTTTAGCTCTTCAAATAGTGTATAGAAAGTCTTTATATAGACTTTCTATACAAGAAAAAAACTTTCAATAGATTTAATAATTTTCTTTAGACATTTTATAGAATTAAAATGATTCGATTTACTTTTCTTTGTTTAATTTTATCTAAACGTCGCGCGAAAATCTTGTTGCTTTTTGCTGCTATAGCAGCGAGTATAATTGTTATGCTAAGATTCAATCTAATATATTTATTTTTGTATTTTAAAATTTTTCACAGAAATTGTTTGTTTTAAGATAAATTAACTTGAAAAAAACTTTTAATCGTTTATATATATATATATATATATATATATATATATATATATATATATATATATATATATATATATATATATATACGTTTTTTTTCAAAAAAAATTTTTAAAAAAAATCTATTCTTACAAAAAAAAAAAAAAAAAAACTCCTCTTGAAAAAAAGTGTGTGTAGGGGGAGGGGGTACGTGTTCCTTTGGCCCTCTAGTATCGTCGGCCCTGATATTTCATACGTAATCGATTTCTAACTTCGTGCTACGTTAATGCGATATGCAGGAAAAAAAAATTAGGAAATATTCCTCAAACTCTTAATAAAATAAGTTTTTTATTGTTGTAAAAGTTTCAAGATTTTCAAAATGAATTAAAAGTTATAAAAATTAGGATGGCTATTATACAGACTTGAGCTATTTTTTATAAAAATATTATACAAAAAATAGGGCCGACGACATATGAGGCACTTTTTTTTTGCAAAAGACCCCTTCCCCCCTCCCTTTTTATTTATTTTATAAGGACCTTTTTTTTATTTGAAGATTTTAGCTATAGAGGACTTTTTTTTAAACTGACAATAGTACCCCTCCACTTCAAAACTCGTGTCGTCGGCCATAAAAAATCCTCTGATATATAATTTGTGGTTTGTTGCGACTATTACTTCTAGCTTACAATTATGCCAGTTCCTTCATTTATTAACTTTATTATAAGTTAATAAATATTTATTTAGTATCGTTAATAAGTAAACAAATACTTAAAAATTATTGGTAAATAAGAAAAAAAGCTAGTACAAAATCTAAATTAAAATGTTAATATTTTACATAAAGTTTACAAAAAATAAAAAACTAAGAAACAATCAAAATTTCAATAAACAAGTAAGTTAAAAAAAAATAATTCTTGTAAATAAAAAAGACAAGCCTGTACAAGATCTGAATTAAAATTTTAAATCAAATTTACAATGAATAAAAAACAAGAAACAAATAAAGTTTTATACAATAAAGTTTTAAAGAAATAAAATCTTTAAATGACAATTTTAACAAAAACATTTATTGTCTTGCCATTTTTTAAAAAGTTTTTTGAAGCACTAGACTTATACACGACATACAACATGGTATCATTATCTAGGAAGTTTCAAAGTAAGATGGCTCTATATAAAACATAGAGTTAGTATTCTTTTTGAGGTAACAACAATTTTTTGGAACATCAAATTGCATTAGGGATTGTCCATAAATTACGTAACGCAAAGTTTCACAAAAAACAAAACAAAAAAAGATCAAAAGTTTTCCCTCGCAGAGTCTTAATTTAAATAAACGATCAAAATAGGAAACTAAGTTAAATGAAAATCGCCGCGTAAAAGAGCCTAGTATCTCCTACTCCTGTTCTAAAAATATTTTTTGCGTTGCGTAATTTATGGGCGATCCCTTATCATAATTTCCTATTTTGATTATTTATTAAATTCAGACTCTGCGAGGGGAAAACTTTTGATCCTTTTTTGTTTTGTTTTTTGTGAAATTTTGCGTTACGTAATTTATGGACGATCCCTAAGTTAAGTTTTTTATTGTAAACATTAATGGTATTAATGGTTAAGATTATCAATTGTCTTATTTACTTCTATCATCAGAATAAAATTTTACGCAAATCTTGCAAAACCTATATAATATATTAACATAATACAAATATTTCTTCTAAAGACAAATCGAACATTTTGTGCATTATATTAATAAAAGCTTACCAAAAACCAGACAATTTCAAAAACCCGGTTTTCGTTTTTGAAAGCGAATTTTTATTATTGCCCTATAAATCCAATGTAACCTACTGAATTTATACATGGCCGACGACACCGGGGGGAGAGGGGGAATGGGGGACTTTAAAACCCGTGTCGTCGGCCCTGTTATATACTGGAAATAGATCTATAAACTAAAAAAAAAAAAGTCTAAGAAAACAAGCTTTTTCTTTTTTTGTAACAATAAAATCACAGTTTAAAGTGCAAATAACAAACAGTATGACAAAATAATTGTCACTTAAAAACCATATTTTTTTAAAAAAATTATATCTATTAAACATCAAAAATAACTTAGTAACCTTTTTTTTATTTTTACACTATTCATAAAAGTGCAATTTGTGCAAACTTTGTGCTATTTAGGTTAAAAGCATGAAACTTGGTAGACATATTGATAGGTTTGAAACATTTATTTTAAGACTCAGACCCACTTTTAAAATGACGACAAATGATATATATGGAAACTAGCACCTGTCCATAGCAACAAAACTTTATTTTTTCAAAATCTTATTATTTAAATACTAATCGAAAGCTCAATCAAAATGAAGCATGTAAAAAAAACTACATAGAAAACAACTGATAACAAGTTACGAGACTTTAAAACATTATACCAAATAATAAGGCTGCTATTATTTGGTATAATACTTTCGAAATGGTTTCACAAGCTGTGAAATATTACTTTTTCATCGGGTTTCAACATTTGAGGTTTGGAAAAATGTTTAAGAAAGTGCACCACTATCCTTGAAGATAGTACTTTGTTAGGTAAGCTTAGTGTTGGTGACCTAATTTCCCCAGATGCTACATATAACTCTATTTGTCTGCTAAGTCTCAATAAAAGATCTAAATAGAAAAAAGTCCAATAAAAAGTCATAGGTAAGTAAATAAAGGGAGTTCTGACAAACAAATTCATGCCCTGGTTCTTCCTGCATTGAAACACATGATACAAGAAAGTATATGATACAAGAAGCAAAGGATTATGATAACCGCAACTTTTTTTTTTTAAACTAGTTTAAAAGTTTTTGAATTATTTTTAAATGTCTTTTACAGGGCTATTTGTTTTTATATGCGCGTCTATTCATTTTTAAATGCGTGTTTATTCATTCTTAAATGCGTGTTTATTCATTGTTATTTGCACGTTTATATGTGAGTCAATCACCCATAAAATCTCTAATATAATTTTATATAAACAATAAATTATATGTTTTTATATAAATATATTTAAAATAAAAATTAAGTTGTAGCCACTGCTATTTATTTAAAAAATGGTTGCCGAGCCAGCGCTGGATTTTTTGTAACTTTGCATACGCTTGTATAATGGAATTAACTTAAACTCTGTGGTATCCATAATACTTTAAGTTTTCTGATTAACCCATCCGTATTTCGAGGCCTTTCTCCCTGTTTGTAAGTATGCTTTAAAGAAGAAGAAAAAATTCTTCTATTGGATTAAGCTGCGGCGTAAATGCTGGCAGATACTTAATAGCTATGTCATGAGAGGCTAGTGTCGGCCTAACAGAAAGACTCCAGTAGAATTTACAATTGTCCATAACAAACACCGGTGTTTCCCCATCAGCATTCCTAATCGCCGGTGCCAACATTGTAGTAATAAAAGTACAAATGAATCTACATTCCAGTCTCCAGTTTTTATTTCGTTTTCGAGCACTCGCATTGTTGAAACAGCACAAATCAAACTAACATTCTTGCCAAAATTTGTAGACGACTGTAAAATTGCTAGTGCACCTCTTAGCAAAAACCATATGTGCTTTTAGTGTGCTCATTAAAGCCAGTTTCATCCAAATAAATAAGTTTTTTATTTGAAATTCGTCAAATTTGCTTGTAAATGCATTGCATGCATCAATAACTCGTGTTGAATTTTGTTTTTCTAGAACATGCACAACACGCTATCTTGATAAAGCCGAGGGTTTGAGTTTTTTTGAAATAGTAGACTGAGACATATTGAAACCTGCAGCAGAAAGATTCTCTTCTATTGCTTCTTGCATTTAAAGATTGTTTTCTTGTACGCATAGTTCAATAATATTTTTTGTTTGAGCGTTTTTAGATCTTTTACCTCGTTATATATCAGAAAACGACTTGAATGCAGTCATGTCGTCGAGATCTTCTCTGTTTAACTAAGGACAAGATTTTGAACTGTGTGCATAGATAAATTAAGAGAAGTGAAAAAGCTTATTGTAGATTCATTTCTTTTCATTTCTTTGTAACACTTTTCCTTGTTTTATGACTGGCACTGTTATTTTCTCCTCCATCAATAGGGTAAATATTTGAGTATTATTAATTAATATAAATGATTAAATCTAAATCTAAATAAATGAATATTTAGATAATAATTTAATCAATCAATAAATTTAATAATAAAGTTAAACAAAGACCTAATACTAAATTTAAATAAACCATCATCAAATGTAAAAAGTTTTCGTCTTAAGTATTTTTAACCTCGTTTACCAGGAAAAAAGAAAACTTGTTTTAAAAAAATTGTAATTGTGGCAAGAATGTTAGTTTGATTTCCCAGTTGACACGAACGTAAAAAAGACGTCTTTTAAACGTCTTATACACCTTACTTTTTAGTAAGGTGTATAAGACGTTAGTTAACCTTACTTAACTATAAAAGGATCAATGAACTTTAAGGAAACATTTCTGAAAAGATCCAAAATTAAAGCAGAGATTGTTGGGACTAAATATCTTATCACTGTTTAAATCTAAAGAAGTAAAAAAATCTAAAGAAGAAATAAGAAGCTTCCCTTTTTTACATTTGACAAAAATGTTGGAATTTAAATTGAATTGAAAGAATTATGAAGACGAATATTTAACACTGTCTGAAGCAGCTAAAATCTTTTTGCAGGTAATTCTCGCTAATCAAAGTTATGACTTTAGCAATTATTTTTTACAAGAA